CATCATCAGAATCTGAATCACTTGAACTACAACCTTAACAAACACACACACACACACACACACAAATGAAAAGATAAAAAAAAAAAGAAGAAGAAGAAGAAAGAAAAACAGTCGAAGTGTAGTAAAAGAAGCAAGAGCAAGTGAACAAATGGAGCCACCGACTAAAAATGATCAATTACCGGGATGCTTATCGCCTACTTTCCACGCAGATGGACTACTCCCTGCAGCCCTGTTAATCCATGCTTTTGCCTAAATCCAAAAAGCCATAAACAAAACCGTCTTTCGCACAACTCAAATGCACACAAAATCCGAAGACAAAACCCCAATCTAAGAAGCTCCAATGCCTTCCCTCATTCGCAAAACTTAAAGCCAAATTGCTCAAAAGTTGCATCTTTTTCGCAAAAGAAGAGTAAAATGAGCTAATACAACAAAGTTCCATTTCCCCTCATTCGCAAAACTTAAGCAAAATCGCTTAAAAATTGCATCTTTATCGCAAAACAAGAGTATAAGAAAAGGAAGTGAGCTAATACAACGAAGTTCCATTTCAAATCGGACATAAATAAATTGCAGAATCAAGAAATTCAGGATGAAGTTTTACTTAGAAAAACTATTCAAGGTAACCCTTAATCAATCTTGAATCCCCATTTCACCATCTCATTTATGTTTGTTTATAGAGCTTGAGCAATCAAAAAACACATACATATATCAAATACACACACAATAGAGAAACAAATTGGGGAAAAAGAACAAAATTACCGTTTTGGTATCTCTGGCGACCCCATACCCGCTGTAGTACATCTGGCCCACGAGCACTTGCATGGCCGTGTCGCCATTCTTGGCCTGCTTGAGCGTGTCCTGGAACCAGCGCTGGGCACAGTCCGCCACCACCTCCGCCAGCGGCGTCCGCCGCTGCGCCTCCGAGCTCTCCGCCCCCCTAGTCGGCCGTGTGGTCAGCCTGAGATGGTGGGATTCGGGTCTCGACACGGTGGGTTGTGCCGAGGATGGGGATCGGGTTTTGGATTCGGGTCTCAGATGGGTGGGGCGGCGCGGCCCGCGGTTGGGGGAATTGATGAAGCGAGCAAATTCAGAGGAAACTGATTTTCCCATTAACAATCAAGAAAAGAAAAAGGTTCGAAATTTTGCTGTGTTTTTTGGTCACAGTGTGAGAGGCTGCGTTTGAAGGTGCACTTGAATTCAATGCCTTCATTATTATTAATCTTTTTGTTTATTAGAGATAAAGGGAGGGGATGATAATGATCTTTTTATTATTATTTTTTCTTACAATTTATTTTTTAACCTATAATGGCATTTTATTTTACTATTTTTTAGTTAAGTTTTTTATGTAAAAGAACACATGTAATTTATATGAAAAAAAAAAAGGCTTCATTACCTATAAAACCTCGACATTTTGTACAATTACAAATAAAATTTTAACTTTTTTAATTTTGCAAATAAATACAAAATTTTTATTATGTG